TACTCGATGATGAAGTATTAGCCAATTTTGAATGTAGAGGTTAACCAATTTATTAATTGTATTATTAATTATATACATATAAAATACAATATATTTACTAATAATATCCCTATTATAATATCCCTATTATAATAAAACATGAGCCATTACAAAAGAAAAAATATCTATATCAGTTTCTATTAAAAAAAAATATGAATACATTTGAAATTAGGATACAGTTGACGTTCTCGCTAATATCCACATTTCTATACATACTCATTTGTCACTCTCATTTGGATCTTTTTTATCATCTGATTTTAGGGCTCAGGTGGTTTAGGAGTTTTATGGAAATTGATATGTGAATTTAACACATCCAATTCATTCCTATTATCATATTTTGATGTCGCTTTCTCGATAATAGCCTTCATCAACCCCATATATCCCAATTTAGTCCATTGAGATGTGTTAATGAGGGCCTTTATTTCATCAGCAGCAAAATTATTGTTATCATAAATTTGCATGTATTTTCTTCTATCGAGTCTTTGCTGATAGAAGATTGCATTTAGGTAGCCTCTTAAAAATGTATACAACTTAAAAATATCAAATGAATTAGTATTATTGTGAATTATAAAAACATTTATCTTGTACTTACAGTGCTGCTTCTTCAACTCAAATTTCATATTACAATACAATGATCTCCCATATTCAATTCTTCATCATCTTCTGAAACCTCTGGATTATGATAGACACTTTTCATTAAAATTGAATTAAGTTCTATTTGTCAGAATTTCGAAACAATCAGATCTCCCATTTTTTGTAAGTGGTTAATTATATTAGCCATTCATGTTCTTTTCTATTAATAAATTTGTTATATACATCATATATTGAATGATTAGTTAAATACATAATTAATAAACTGATTGGTTTATTACCTCCTTTCTGTGAGAATTTCCATGTCAACGTTGAGTTTCTTTTGTTTATGTAATTTTATCTTTTTTTTTCCTCAACATTTCCTCCTTTTGGTAGCGATGACATTGATGAATCATTTCGTAAAAGACACCTTCGCCAATCAGGTACATTTCTGGATCTAATACCTTTAACAAAGCAGGTATTATTGATGTCATCACCAATCTTTTTTGCGATTCAAATGTTTCATTAATATCAAGTTGGTTATTTTCTGGCATTCATTGGATGTTCTAGAAGATATCCCGCTAAATATTTATTAATTTTAATTAATAAAATCTGTAAATAAAAATGATCTAAAAAAAATAATTTACTTATACGTAAAGCATTACACAGATCTTCTATTAAATCTGATAAGTGGAAGTATGTTACTTTCCTGAAGATATTGTTCAAATTATCATTTTCTTCAGCACTTGAATGAGAGGCCAATCGTTGTCATTTTTGTTCATTTTTAGCTTCTTTTTTTCTGTCTCATTATCATTGTCTTTTATCTGAATTATCCCAGGATTTAGAAGAACTCGCAATGCCATATTCTTCAGATATTTTGTGAGTGACCAGCTTTTTACCAATTGATTTATTCGACACAAATAATTTACTTATATTTACATCGCTAAAATTTAGAATTAAATCCTTCGGGTTTATCTCCTTTTGTTTTCCTCTTTCGGCCCATTTTATATATTCTAATAAATAATTCGCTTGATCTTGTTCGGTAAATGAATCTTTTAAAATAGTAATGAAAAGATGTAACAAGAGTTGCATAATTATACAACATTATATTATCATAATAAAAGCTTACCAATTTCAATATATTTATTTTTAGAATGTTTCTCTTTAATTGCTGCTTCTAATTCTAGATCTAATTTTAAAGAAATTTTGACATTTTTTCTAGGTTCAGGAGACAAACTGCTACTGTAGCTCTTAGAATTTTTCAGCTTTCTAGGTTCAGGAGATGAACTGCTATGATGACTTTTAGAATTTCTTAGCTTTCTAAGTTCAGGAGACGAACTGCTATGATGACTCTTAGAATTTCTTAGCTTTTTAGGTTCAGAAGACGAACTGCTACTGCGGCTCTTAGAATTTCTCAGCTTTTTAGGTTCAGAGAACGAACTGCTATGATGACTCTTAGAATTTCTTAGCTTTCTAGGTTCAGGAGACGAACTGCTACTGCAGCTTTTAGATTTTCTTAACTTTCTAGGTTCAGGAAACGAACTGCTACTGTGGCTTCTTTGATTTTTTGATTTTTGACTTTTCAATTTTCTGAATTCCAAGGGCTCATGACTTTCCAATTTTCTAGAATCTGGAAGCTCACGACTTTTCAATTTTCTAAAATCTGAGAGCTCACGACTTTTCAATTTTCTGGAATCCAAAAGCTCATAAATTATTGATTCCAGTGACTTTGTACTTCTTGTTCTTGATCTGCCTCTTTCACGACTCTTAAATTTTTTCATTGACATAGTGAATAAATTTCAAAAGGTAGAATGAAATAACTAATGTTAAATAATTAATAAAATATAAAAAATCGGGAGAAGAAATTTGAAAAATTGTTTCTTTTATATCTCTGGAAACAGACTCTTTTATATCAATCGTCATAAATTAGACTTTCTGAATTACTATAAAAATAGACTTTTAAGCTTTTAATGTAATGTATTCTTAAAAATCATATGAAATTTTAATTAATTAACTGCAGTATCAAAATTATATAACAAAAATCATACTTTCAAGCTATTGATCATAATCTTAGATTATTGATCAATTAATTATTTTTAATAATCTTTTATCAATCAGGCCAAACATGTAACTTTATTTTTAATTTTTTAAAGAATAATAAATCAGATTAATCATGCAATGATATAAATTATTTTATTAATAATTAATTTACAATCAAGTATTTATATACCGTTAAATCCTATCAAAATTTATATTATTTGTCTCTTTATCTCTTTTTAATTAAACGATGCACTTAAGAAACAAAGTTAGTTGTCCTTGTAGTAAATGTAATAAATATTGACTGATCTCAAAACGCGAAAAAAAATATAGAAATAGAATAACAGATGGAGACCTGATACGGAACATCATCAAAATTAACGAAAGTAATATCAAAAAGAACCCGGCAGGATAATGATAACAAAAAGACATCAAAATTGAACTCTTCAGAGGCCTCAAATTCAACTAATTCGCCAGATTTAGCTGATTCATCTAGTTCTTCAGAAGACATAAGTTCAGAACAAGAACCGATTTTTGTTTAAACTAAACGAAGAAAAAATAAAAAATTCAAAGAATTAGAATCAGAAGCTGATGATAAACCTTATTTAGATTTTATATTATCTGACGAAGAATCTGTATTAAATAATGAAAGTGAAGATTCTGAAAATTCTGACGATAATGAAGAAGATAATTCCTAGGACGAACAATTTATAGCTCCCGATTAGGATGATTTTGATAACAGTAATGATTTTATATATCTTAATCCAAGTACTGAGTTTTCTGAAACTTGGATATTATTATGAATATATAAATTTCAATCGAGATTTCGTCTATCTGATATCGCTATAAATTCCTTGATTGCATTTTTCGGTCAAGTGTTAAAAGATGTTGATCTAAGGTGATTTCATAAATTCCCATCTTCATCTCACAATGCAAAGAAATTGTTACAAATTAAAAAGATTGCAAAAACATATGCCGTATGTTCAAAATGTAACAAATTACATAATTGTGCAGAAATTTCGGAGTAAATTCATCAAGTTTCCTAATCATCTAATGAAGAAACATCAGACAGAATGTGGAACGGTACTACTAAAAAATATTCTAGTAACTAATGGTTATATAAAACGTTCCCGTATGGTATTTCCTATACCAGATTTGAAATCTCAGATTTTTGCGATATATCAGCATCCAGAATTTGAACATAATATGACAAAGTGGATACATCAGCATGTTGATGATAATTTACTGGCTAATATTTATGATGAAGAGATGTGAAAGACATTCCCATCGTCAGTTGAACCAGAAAGCGGTCTGTTTTTTACACCTAAGTTTGCAGATTCACATCTTGGAATAATTATTAATATTGATTAGTTCCAGCCATTCGATTCTTTGATATATAGTACTAGAGCGATATATGGCGTTATCTGCAACATCCCTCGTGAAATACGTTTTTGACAAGAAAATATATTAATATTAGGTTTGTTGCTAGGACTTAATGAAGTTCAGACCTATAAAATAAATCATTACCTATCACTGATTGTCGATAAATTACTTGAATTCTAGACAGGTGTTGAATTATAAAGAACTGCAAATTATCTGAGTGGTAGAACATTTCGAATAGCAGTTATTTGCTGTAGTAGTGATATTCTGGTAGCAAGAAAATTATGCAGACATATATCGGCATTGGCTGCTTGTCATCGATGTCATAAGGTGGCCAGTAGTCATGATGAAGAAAAAAGACCTAATTTCAGTGACTTTGACGACATGAATGATTAGTTTAGACAGAGGATTTAGAAGTATTCTAATGAAATGCTCTTGCTTGACATAGGTGTCAAACACAAGAAGAAAGAAAGAAACATGTCTCTAATACATTTGTCAGATAGACAGAGCTACTTAGATTACCTTATTTCAATCTAATTCAATATTGTGTTATAGATTCTATGCATAACCTGTTCTTAGGAATCACCAATTGGATTGTAAAAGATTGTGGATTGATGATGGAAAAATATCCAAAGATGATCTTGAATTAATGGAAAAACGTTCTAAAACAATTAAAATTCCAGCTGATTTAGGACGGATTCATAATAAAATTGCTATAGGTGAAGGCTTTTCTGGATTCACTGCTAACCAATAGAAAACCTTTATCTTAGTATACGTAACACTATTAATGTGGAATTTGTTATCTATTTCAGATTGATAAATTTTAGCAAATTTTGTCAGGGCTTATACTTTATTAATTTGTAGAGTCATTGATAATAGTATGTTAAACGAAACTCATGCACGTTTACTTAAAGTTGGTCAGCTTATAGAGGAACATTATGGTCGATAATTAATCATGCCAAATATTCATCTCTCCTTCCATCTTGCTGAATGTTATCGAGATTATGGTCTGTTATACTTTTTTTGATGCTATTCGTTCGAAAGAATGAATAGTGTATTAGGTAAGCATTTAAATTATAAATTATAGACCTTTCAGCTAGTTTATACTTATGTTGATTTATTGATTTAGCTCTTTAGGATCCTTTCCTAATTCTCAACATTGTATCGAATAAGAATTATTGAGAATTATAATGCAAAATTATAAAATCGACAACCTAGTTTCCATTCAACAAAATAATTCGCAACTTATTAATGGGCTTGAATTAATCAGATTTCAGAAAACTTTAGGATCGTTGGCTGCATACGATAGTTTCAATGCTGAAGAATTGCTCTAATTCAGGAGGTCATTTTGTCATGAATCAGGAGATACAGTTACCGGAAGTGAATTATTTTCAGAAGAAATATTATTTCCAATAAATGAACAGGTTGATTTACCTGATAATGTATTTAAATGGTTGATTACTTATTATAATGAAGCATATGATGATATGAATGTTGAATTCATTTTGATGACTGATTTAATTAAAAGAGGGTTACAAAATGATTCATCAAATTGCTATTCAATTGTTTAACCAATAACTAATCAATATGAATGAATTTGAATAGCTGCTAAAATTTTCAGTTTTGCATTATCACTTTGATACAAGAAGAATTCGCATATTTTAGCATTGTTTACCCAAAGTGATAATTCAATAGAATTATTTCTAGGACAAGTTCATTTTTTTTGAACATACATTGCGGCTTCTGAATAGTATCATCAAGACATATAGGCTTGTTTATGTTAAGTGGTATCTACCAGTTGATGATCACAAAACCAGATTTCATTATTGAATTGAAGAGGATAATCGAAGTGTTAACATTGAACTTTGGAAAATTGTCAAATTTTATGATTTATTTCAGGACAGCATAATTCCAATACATAATATCTACAGTCAATTTGTTCCCGCTAATTTTGTCATTAGAAAAAAAAAACAAACAGTAAATCTTATATGGCAGTAATACTAATTAATAGGCAATTTTATTTATAATTATTATCTGTTATAATCATTGTTTTAATTTTATTACAATCATTTTATTGCTAACTTAAATAAATGTACTATAATCAAGTTTCGTTTATTTTAATTTTTATGAATTGATTATTTAATAACATTTATTCAAAATACCTTATCAATTGTGTTAACTAAGCTAATTGTCAATTGGTTTATATATGATTGAACTTCGATTTACTTGTATGGGTATCCTATTGATCACCTGTTTTTATTGTGAACAAGTTTTTTATATAGTATTTATCAGGTTAACTAGTTAGTTTAATAGTTATCAATCGGGTTAATACCAATTAAACTTTATTTTACCTATATATATCTATTGGAAATATGCCTTATTGATTACCCATTTTTGTGCATACTAATTATTTTATATTATACAATCGACAACCTGATTAGTTTAATAGTTATCAAATAGGATTATGTCTGATTAAATAGCATTCTACCTGTGCATTCTTTCACAGTTTGAAGACTGAATCTGTACCCTCTTTTTTACACGCATTTCTTAGAGATTTAGGATTAGAATAATATCTGGTTAGGTGATAATATATATCACGTAATATAATATTTTTTTTGATTCTCTGAGCCTCATCAGGATCTATCACAATTTGCGGTTGATTCATTTTCAAGGTAGGATTATTATGATGGTACTATAAATTAAAATAAAATACCATGTTTGATTCAGCATATTCACAGCTTTTAAATACAAATCAGGAGCTTCGTAATGAGTTTTAAAATGAGATTTTTATTAATAAGAGTAATGAGAAAAAACTTAGCTCTCTTGTAAAGGAGCTTGAGCAGTATTATCAAATTATCTTATTATAGAATAATACTATCGTAACTCACGAAAAAAAGATAGAGAAACTTAAATCAGAAATATCTGATTTGTAAAAACAACTTAGGGTTTTACAACAGGATAAAAAATTTAAAGATGAGGTTGGGTTTATTCAAGATGGCCAAATTATAAAGTTTAAAAATAAGGTTAGAAATCTTAAAGTGGGAATCTGGATTCTCATAGATAAAAAAATCCCAATAAATATTTTAGATATGATAATGACTAATCTTATTGCAAATGTTAATAGAGGGTTAGATCGAATTGAAAATCACATTAGGGGATTGGTACTTCTATGCAAAATTTCACCAATGTTATAGATGGAATCAGAGGCTCATTAAATACTATTTGGATTACTTTGCAAAATATCACAACTGAGAGGGATCAATATCAGAACCTATTAAATGATTCAATTTGGCAGATAGATGATCTTAGAAATCAGTTAAATGATAGCAAAAATCAGAATTTACGGTTACAACGTTTATTAGACGAATCTTGCATTCAGGTTGAAAGAACTATGAGAGAAAGGAATATAGCTATAAGGGAGGGAGATAATGCTTAAGGAGAGCAGGATATGGCTATTCTGACTTATAATAATGAGAAAAAAGAATCTCACCGTTGGTATTTCTCATATCGAGATAAGTATTGGCATATTCAAGAATTATTACGAGAAAAGTTTGCTAAACAGATATTATGTTAGCAAAATGTTAACCATCTTCAGCAAAATATCTGACAATTGCAAACTAACGCCTAAAACTAATTTAATAGGATATTAGTTGGTATAGCAAGAAAACAAACTCGTATTAATGAATTGATATGTGAAAAGTTTGTTTTTCAGCTAGTGATTAGGCAAAGAGGCCAGAATATTTCAAATTTGCAGGGACAAATTTTGGTGCTTCAGAATAATCCATTAAGAAATATGGCTGATGCTAGACGTTTACTAGTATAAATTTGATTACACCCATTCTTGCTAAAAATAAGCCATATACAGGTCAAGAACCTCCTGATGATTATTTGGATAGGTTTATTCAATCAATATCATTTGCGCAAAGACATATGACTGTTCTTGAAAATGCAAATGCTGGAGATTTTGATGATGCTGTCAAGTGTAATATTTATAAAGCTCAGATGGGATGAAAATATTTACCAGTTCTAGCAAATGATCCCTATACTAATCCTGTGGCTCCTATTAATACTCCAGATACTTTACATGCTTGATGAGATCACATTATCAATGAGAAATAGTAGGTAGTCAGTAGTTGGCACTTTAAAGATTAACTTAAGAAAAATTTCTACCTACAGACTCGCCAGATACTTATGAAAAAAGAATCTGACCTTTATTATTAAGTATAACAGATGGTGATGCATAAACTATAGGATTTTTTAGGAATTACTTATCAGGCGATCTTTATACATAGATGCAAGCTGTCGCTCCTGCTACTAT